GCTAATTTTCATATTTTTAGTAGAGACAGGGTTTCACCATGTTGACCAGGCTGGTCTCAAACTCCTGACCTCAGGTGATCCGCCCGCCTCAGCCTTCCAAAGTGCTGGGATTACAGGCATGAGCCACCGTGCCCGGCCTGATGTTTTAAATTTTTAAGCAACTACTCTCCAGCAGGAAAAATAATACAGAAGTACAGAAGGGAAGCAGAAACCCTCCCCTCTTCCTTCTCCCACCCTAAGCCCCAGGGCACTCTCTTGCCACAGGCTTCATATTAATACAGCACTAAAGGCATCATTTGTTTATTTCCTGTGATAAAAATTACACTTGAATCCCAAGTTGAAATTATTAACAATTAAAAGGTGAGGTAGAATCAAAGAAAAAAAAATCCATAGAATGAAAAACTTAGAATGAACTTGTTGTGGATTAAATCATGTTCCCCAAAAGATATGCTGAAGACGTAACTCCGGTACCTGTGAACTTGACCTTACTCAGAAAGTGGGTCTATGCAGACGTGATCAAGTAAAGATGAGGTCAGGTTAGAGGAGAGCAGGCCCTAATCTAATGACGGTCTCCTTATAAGAGAGGAATCTGGACACAGAAACTTACAAGGAGGGGAGAGATTGGAGTGATGCGGCCAAGGGCCAAAAAATGCCAGCAGCCATCAGACACTAAGAAGAGGGAAGGAAGGATCCTCCCCCAGAGCCGCCAGAGGGACAGTGTTTCTGCTGACACCTTGCTTTTTGAACTCTGGCCTGCAGAATTGTGAGAACAAGTTTCTATAGTTTTGAGACCAGGATATTAATGCAGAAATTAGAAGATTATCCACAGCTGAGGAAAGGGAAGCTGAGGGAGGTTACACACTTGCCCATGGTTACAGGTGTGACCCTACAGTGTTCAGGACCTGTAATCAGGCCAGGATGCTTCTTGTCAAACCACATCATCTCCAGAAGCATGAAAATGGTTCTTCTTAAACGTTACTATAACTAAAACACTGCACCTAAGGAGGAACCGCAGTGAAGTGCAAAGACTTTGAGCTAGGCAGACCCAGATTGACAGCTCCACCCTGCTTTGCCTTCACTAGTGTGGCCCAGAACAAATTACTCTGCCTCTCCAAGCCTCGGTTACCCCGTCTGAAAATTAAGTCACATTATTGTGCACATTTTCCAGGACGTTGCAAGGATGAAACGAGGTGAGCCACGCAAAGGGCTTCACATGCCCTTTGAGTGCCCAACACTCCATCAGCAAAAAATTAAGGTCAGCTCTTGATCTTATAAACTATTTCTCGGACTCCTGTCCCTCCTTATTGTTTCAAGCTGATTTCTTGGCTCACCTTTCCCAGTCCTCTGTAATACAGTCTTTGATGAATTCTTTCTCTAAAGCCCAGGAGCTGCCACTTCTCACTCGAAGGAGCTAGTGGCAAACTGGCTTTGACTTTCTTATTCTTTCATCCTCAGTAATTGTTTTTTCTCATTGTCTTTAATAGTTTACCATTTCAGGTGGCGCCATCAGAGTTCTTCTTGCTGGGATTACCTTCTTGTTTTCAGCCTCAACTACAGTCAGCTTCATTTGGGGAGCCTGGATGGCTTCTTCTGAAGAACACAAACTCTTATTGCCATATGCTCGATCCATATTTTCAATGCAAGTCTTCCAAATAATTGTGTACGACGAGGCTGATAATCAAGTGAGCGCACCATGATTAAAATAAGATTCGTCAAAATAATTAGGTGGCCCTTTACATTCAAGTGTTCAGGTATGAGAATAGTTTTGCTGTCTGCTTTACCCATCTTAGTGGAGATGACAGAAAATCTTTCAGAAAAAAAAATCCCAAAGGCTTTTTTTGAAGCTACTACAAGGTATATGGCTGCACACCTTTTCCTGTCTTCAGCTGGAGTTATTGTGTTCGCATGAAAGTCTCTTTTTTAATAATGGAAATTGCTGTAATTATAATCACTTTAGAATAGTGTTATTATTATTAATAAGACCAAATTGCATGGTTCAAGCAGATGCTGGTTCAAAGAACTGTTCGAAAGTTCTACAGTTCGGAAGAACCCACATAATGGGATCAGCCACAAACCTGGCAGTCATCTCCATGCCAACGTGGCCCTTCCTGCCAGCACTCGGGCCTTGCCTTGCAGCTCTCACGCGGGCTTCTGGGCACATGCCTGTGACTCCTCACAGAGTCACTGGGCAAACAATGGACCTCCAGTTACTGATTAAAGCCTTCTGGGAACACACTTCCAACAGTTGACTTTCCCATAGAAGAGGGGAAGCTGGAGGGCTCTGGTTCCTGTTGAACCTCTCCTCTCAAGGCCTCTCCCATGCACACCTGGATCCAGCCCTTCATTCTGTTGCTCATTCAGCAGTACTGAAGGAAGGAGGAGATGGGGGAACAGCAGGCAGTTCCAGAGGGTCCAGTTGCAGTCACACATTAAGTTCCTAACACCTTGGGGTGTAAGTTCAGGGCTTTCTGGCTGGAAAGGGTAGTTTGAGGCCAAAACCAAAGAGATCAGGAGGCATGAAGGGAAGGAAGTCATTATCTGCCTGGTGGTTCAGAACTTGGCTTCTGAAGTTCAGTTCCCTGGCTTCCATTTTTGGCCCTCCCTCTTTCTTGTCCTGTTGCCCTGGAAAGTTGTTCAGTCTCTCCAAGCTTCAGTTTTCCCATCCCCAAATGCATATAAGAACCCCAAGGGGTGGTGGGTGGGGATTCTGGGGAAAGCACACCTACAGCGCATAGCGCAGGGCTTGTCCTGTACCGAGCTTTCAGACATTGTCTATGACTATTACTTAATTCTCGAAAAATTCTTGGTTATTTATTGCTTGAATTTACAATTCCATTTTTCTCTCCACCTAAGCAATTTTTATTTTAGGCTTCAGAGAATCAGCAGAGAATAAATGCATGACTCCTGGCCATTAATAGAGCAGGAAAGCTCACTCCAGGTTCAGAAGTCACCTCACTGCTGCCCCCTCTAGCTGGCTGCTGACACCCTGCTGGTGGTCAGAGACATTTCAGGGCAACACAGGCTGGCACTGAATCCTAATGCAGTAGTCAGTAAAGCCTGAGTTTACCGTAGGCATTTGGAAAGATTTTGCTATAAAGCAGCTTATCGCTAAATCAAGCCAGGAGGGAGGTACAGGATATTTCATTCCCCATCACTTGTAAAAATTAAATCTGTCTCTGTAGAAGCAGCCCTCCCTGGAAACATGCTAATGGTTGAGAAGTAATCTTGAACCAACTACTGCCTGGGCTATAGTGAAGACAAGAGCCTAGGTACTCAATACATTTCTGTTAATTAAATTAATTAAACCTCATCATTTTAAAGTAAAGGTCATTGAATTAATTAACAGGCAAGCTATTATTTATAAAAGCTTTTTTATTTTTTTGATTGCCAAAGTTAAGTATTTTTTAGTCGTTCTTCAGGCTTCTTCCTTTCCCCTTTCCTCCGGAGGGAGGGTTTCAGGCCTTCTTTTATTATAGCCCTCAGACCACCCAAATTTACTTTTAGTAGAGAGAATTCCCTTGCATCAAAGTACACATCTCAAATGAGGAGTCTTTCAAGGTCTGTTCCAAAAGATTCTCTGTAGGTCACAGAAGAGGTTCTTCCTCAATAGCTTGTGATAGTTACAAGGTTCTCAGCACCAGGCACGTGTTCCCACGTGTTGGCTGCATCAAGACCACATCTTAAGGGCCAAGTTAAGCTCCCTCAGCTGATGAGGATTCCCTTTCCCTCCCTCTAACCATCCACTCCTGGAGATGGCAAAGATCACTCACGTGGCTTCCCATGACTTAGATGAAAGGCAACTCGAATCAAAGTTTGAATACGCTTTTGAAGGTTTTTTTTTCCCCCTAAACTAATTAAACAACTACAGAAGTTATTCGGCAGTTTCCTTTTTTAAAAGAATTAGCATGGCATGTCTTTCCTCTTAAAGTCTTGAATAATTTAATGAGAATTATACAAAAGTCATGAGTATGTTCTATTTATGGCGGAATCATAGCTGAATTAAAACCCAAATGACAATGTTAAAAATAAAAATAAAGTATCCTCAAATAGTGCATTCAATTGAGCAAAGGACTTCAAATCCCACTTGGATTAGATAGTTTGAAAGTAGGAGGGGAGCAGAGCAATTGGGACTTTTTTTTTCTTTTTCTTTTTCTTTTTTTGATTACTGTGCTTGGGAACATTTGTTTCTTGCTACAAAAAGTGTTAGTAAATGAACATCAGAGTAAGAGAAAAAGAAAGCTGTTGTAATCGGGATACCACTTGGTCCCCGGACCTCACTCAGCCCATATTTTTTTCCGGTAGCTGGACTACATTTCACACTCTCCGCACACCCGCGTGTGCGTGCATCGCTCCGTGCAGAGGGGCAGGGCCGCCGGATAAGCGAGGACACAGCTGACAAACGAACTCAGAGAAAGGAAAGCGGGCGCAGGGGAGACGCTGCTCCTTCCTCAGAGCAGCAAGCAAGCCACTCCTGAACCGGCTTGCTTTTAGCTGAGCTCATGCATAAATCCTTTTTAAAGGGTACTGCGCCTTTGGAAGCCAGCCACGAGCCTCTTTAGCAATGAGACAGCATGGTGGGGGGCGGGGGGAGGGAGAGTATGAACACGAGGTGATTTTCCCCATAATAGCCCGTCGCCCAAGGCCCACCGTTCCGTCTCCCGCTGGAAGTAGGTGTCGCCCGCAAGAAGGAAATCACGTTATTGGAGGCGGCAAGTTCCAGGTCTCCTCTCCCGCCCAGCCCCGCGGAGGGGGAGCTCACAAGTTCTGAAACACTCGCGCACACCCCTCCGTGCGCCCCGGGCGGGGGCCGCCGTCCTCCACGACTCAAGAGCGAGCGCCCCCGCTCCCCGGCCCACCCGAACCCCTCTGCGTTCCCCGCTCTTCTGTGCGGGGACAGCTGCTGCTTTGGGGGCGACGCTAAGCCGCGTGGAGGCGTCTCTGGACGGCCCCCTCCCCCCAACGAGCCCGAAAAGCCCGCGGCAGCAGCCGGGGGGCCCTACCTTCTGCGGGGGGGTCCCGATCAGCATCTCCAGGTAGTAGCCGCGGCCAGAGTCCCCCTGCAGGTTGTCCACCATGGCCAAGAAGTTGGCGGCGCCCGCGGCGGACTCCAGGGCAGGCTCCAGGGCGAGCGCCAGGCCGTCGGCGCGGCGCTCGGCGGGGGTCCCGGGTTCCGGGGTGGGCGCAACTACGCGGTTCGTGGCCGCGGCCACCCGGAGGGGCAGCGTGAAGGGCGCGGGGGCCAGCTCCGGGGCGGCGCGCAGGAGCCACTGGGCCAGCAGAGGCAGCAGCAGCGCCCGGGCCAGCGCGCCCATGCCCACGGCGGGGCCCGGGGGGCGCGCCCAGCCCAGCCCGTCCCGTCCCGTCCGGCAGCCGCGGCTCAGCGACTCGGCGGACGCGCGGGGCTGTGGGCAGGGATGGGCGCGCACCGGGACCGGCGGCAGCGGGAAGGACGGGAGGAGGGCCCAGGGGAGGAGGCTCGCGGGAGGGGAGAAGGCGGAGGCCGGGGAGGCGGGCGCGGAGGCGCGGAGCCGCCCCAGCCCGCGCCTCCAAGTTGAGCAAGTTCTTCTCCGCTGCCCCCTCTGGCGGCCGCGGCTGCCCCGCAGCGGCCCAGCCCCTCCCCCGCGGACAAGGTCACAGCGGGGCTCGGGGGCCGCCGGGGTCCACCTGCGCCTGCCCTGCCCACCCTCGCCGGGCTCCGGCCGCGCCTCTTCCCCGGGAAACTCGAGTCCCGAATTTCCTCGGAAAGCGCCCCAGCGGCCGCGGCCAACGGATGTGACGAGGCTCATCTGATACCAGGGGGGAAAGTTTCGAGAACCCTTAAAGGGGCAGCGAGGGCCTGAACTAGCGCCCCGGCCCCGCGCGCGTGAGGGTCCGCGGGGGGTCTATTCGCCCTGCAGCGGCGGGGGCTGCTGGGGGTGACTCGGGGGTCAGCAAGGAGAGCTGTGGATCTGGAAGGAGCCTGGAGCCTCGCGCGCCTTTCCGAGCCTGCGCCTCCGCTCGCCAAGCGCCTCCGCCTCATTTCAGTCGCCTGGTCTGGCTGCTTTCGAGGCGTTTCCCGTGCGCTGCCCCTGAACCCCCGCCCCGAGTCCTGCCAGTTCCCCGGCCTCATCCCCCGGCGGCCCCCGAGTGGTTTTAAAGAGGTCTGAGTGGAGGCTGGGAGGGTGGAGGGTGGAAGGAGGCAGAGGAGGATGCGAGAGCTTTGGATAATTTTCCCTAAAAAATCGGGGGAAGTGGGGGGCGTGGCTGCTGCTGGCGGCTGGCCCCAGCCTCATTGCCCCTCCACTTACTCCCTCCGTTGCCCGCAGCTGGCTGCGAACCTGGGCTTCCTCCCAGCCACCTCCCCCTAACCCCCGCCCCCTCCGCCCCCTCCGCCGCGCCGCTGTCCCTAACGCAGGTCAGATGCTGCTGGAACCCGCTCTCTCCCCTGGCACCGGGCCCTCAGGCCATCTAGTAAGTTGCTGTCAGGATCCCAAATCAGGGCCACGAGTCCACCCTGCTGTGATTCCTGCCCTTCTCCCCCACCTCCCCTCCTATCCCCAGCCAGCTCTTCGCGGACTGTCTGATTAATACTCCTTTAGCCATAGACACCAAGTCGCAGAAATGCGTTCAGTAACGCAAAAAGCGAGGGTTATTTTATTTTAGATACTAAAGGCAGGGGGGACAATTTTACAAGTTAAAGTCCATCGATTTCTACAGAAACAAGGAATAGAAAATCCTCCTCCAGCTGAATTATGCTGGCTGTTTTAAAAAACAAACAAGCCCATCTTCAAACAGTGGGGAGTTAGAAGCCAAGCTTCCCCGAATCACTGCAATTTTCATCTACTTCTACTTAAGATTTGATTTTTATTCCTGTGTTCCCAATTTTAGAATCACGTCTAGCTCTGCAAGGGACCCTTATGTCAGAGATCTTCAACTGTATTGATTTTCAGATGACTTTAATCATAAACACACTTCCCCAAACTGTATCTCAACTTTAACAAATCCCCAGCTCCACGAAGAAAAGCATAACTGGATCCCGTGATGTAACTTACATTGATATTCTCCATAAATCTGCATAGTTATTTCAGAGCCATTCTATTCATATATTCACGTTTCAGATTCAAGGTTGTAGAGGGAGTGTGATTTAAAAAAAAAAAAGAAAAATTATTTATACTCCTTGGTGTCCAGTCTTGAGGGGTTCAAAAAGACATTCAGACAGCTCTGGGAAGAATATAATCTTTCTGAAAAGCACATGAAATGTATTAGGGCCATTGATAAAGAGGCCATGTGACATATAAGTTTAATACTAGAGACATTTGCTCTCCCTAATGATTAAAAGCCACAAGGGAAATTTTTAAAAAATCAAGTCTAATTAAGGTTTGTACTTGAAACTCCTGACTCAGTCTAGGGTGAGTATTCCTGAGCTTTTCATTTTAAGAGGGATGGTTGGGGTTTGTGGGGGAAAAGGGTGCATGAAGATCCAGGGACGGAGGAGCACACGGGCTTCAATGGATGGCAGAGCTGTCTTGTCAGAGAATAATGCAAGCTGAAGGGACAGCATTGGGTGACTGTCTCCTTGGTTGTCTCTGTTTTCATGAATGGTCTTAGAGCACTTGGTCCGTATGCAAGCCTGTGGTGCTGGGTAGATTTGGGAGACAATAATTTTACTTCGCAGGTGTTGGAATTGAAATGATAAATGGCAGCCCTCTCACTGAATAGCATTGATTTTTAAACCATATCAACCTGTATCCACCTTAAAGCACTACCCCAAGAATCCCCTTCCCATTGTGTTGGTTGGTGACCCATGCAGGGCAGAGAAAGGAGAAGGTGAGACCCACCCTCCTGACCTCACCCCCAACATCAGTGGACATGGGATACTGCCCTGCTCTTCCTCACTCCACCAGAGCCTCCACCTCCTTCCCTTCTCCTTACAGCCTCTCAGCACCTTCGCTTTCAGCCACGGCCTTCCTGGGTCCACGCAGGAAAACAAAAGCCCTGCAATGAGATGGGCCCCCTCTCCTTGGAAAGAACAAACATCACCATTAAACATGACCCTGGACAGTGGAGGGTGAGGAAGGATTTCACCCTCCAACCCAAATGACTAATAGAGGATTCCTGGTAGGAAGGTGTGGCGGTCAGCCAGAAAGAGTCACTGTCCCATGTTCCACTGATGTTTGTTGTCTCTCACTGCCAACTCCGAGTTCCTTTTACACCTGCAATTGTGACCAAGCCTGTTAGATGAATCATAAGGCGTTTGTTTTCCTTGACCGTGGTCCTTGGCTTCCTCCAGGCATGCCTGTTTGCACATAGTCCTTTTAATAGAAGGGAGTCCCTTGTCGTTGATTAACTTTATATCCTGGTCCCAAGGCTCCCCACTGATTAATGAACTTGTTTTTCTTTTAAAGAACAATGATTCTTAGATTAAGCAGATCCCTTTGATGGCATCCAGAAGTTTGATCGGGCTGGGCCGAGGGACGCAAATAGCTTTGCTCATCGGGGATCTCACCTCCCACGTACTTACCTTACCCATAGAGGCCCCAGCTGTGGTCCTGAATTGATTCAGAAATTTCAGTATTCTGAATTCTGTATTTCTGAGGCCCTTTTAAAAAAATGATTCTTTGATATATCTACTGAAAAGTTCTGGAAACAGTGAGTATCCTTAGTATCAAATTAGGGTTACTAAATATCACTTCCCTCCCGAGAGAACCAGGGCCTTTTGGAGAAGGCTGATTTTATAAACTGAATAAGATAACCCTAGAATATCTCATCACACCAGAAAGCAAGGATGTTATCAAAGACTTCTGAGGTCCTGTCATAAGCTGGGGCAAAACAGACAATTTAAACATCATTAAAGGCAGTAACTGCAATGCCTCAAAACACTTCAATTATGTTGAAATCTATTTGCTCTTAATGTTCTTTTTAAAAGTACATTGATTATCTTTGAAGAACGCTAAGAAGCCCAACTCATTATTTTTAAAAGCTGGCAAAGAAAGGAAAGGGATCAAGCATTTATTATCTTGACTTTCCTGTACAAACTATACCCCAGTATAAGCAAATAGTAGATGAAGGCAAGTTTCTCTTTGTAAAAGTATTGCAGCAAATAAATGAAGGGACAATGGAATTAGAATGTTGCCATTTTGCTTCCCTTAAAGAGTTAATGGATCTGAACACAGAATGTACTTGGCTGATAATAGTAGAGAGAGAGGGAGAGAGAAACACCCTGACATTCTAAACCTTCTGATGGAAATCCACAATGATACCAACATGTTATCACCAAACAAAACAAAACAAAACAAAAACCTGAATCTGAACAAGCCTGTACATCACAGGTTAGCAATCTGCCTTCTTGGGGCCAAATCTGGCCAACTGCCTATTTTTATAAATAAAGTTTTATTGAAACACAGCCATACCCATTCATTTCAGTCATAGCAACAAAGACAGAATGGCCCACAATTCCTAAAATACTTGCTATTTAACCCTTTTCAGTGAAAGTCTGCCAATGCCTGCTATACAACAGAAGAATCCCAGTACCCCTATTAGTCTATTGCAATAGATGGACCTTATTCAGTCCTGATTTGAACAAAATGACAAAGTTGTTTATGAGACAACTAGAGAAATTTGAACACTGGTTGGATGATATTATGGAATTATTGTTCATATTTTAGGTGTGGTAGTGGTATTGCATGTGTGAGAGCGTATCTAGTGGAGACACATGCTGCCATATTTATGGATGAAATGAAACTTGTTTCAAAATAATGTGGGTTGGCAAGGATTTCAGGCAGTATTCACAGCTATTTAATACAAATAATGATTCTATTAGCAGGCATTATTCTTCTCATTTTACAGATGAGGAACTGAGGCACAGAATTGATAGTTGATTGGTGAGAGGCGGGAACGGTATTCAGAGCCCTGGGTCTGATTTCAGAGCCTGTACTCTTCATCATGGAGCCAGGGCCACCCCTTTGATGTGAACTTTCTGGAGCTCATGGACTGCCCCAGCTGGAGAGGGCTCCAGAATGCCACCTGCACAGGCAGGACACAGAAAGTACAATAGGCCAGTAGAACCCTACAGGCTTCATCCATAACCAGGCACTAAACAGACATATGCTGAACCCTCCCTGTGCCAAGCTCCATGCTAGAGGCGGGCTCACATGGGCAAATAACACCCAGAAAGCCCCTTCCATCAGAAATTACAATTTGGCAGGAGACAGACTGACTGTAAATACGTTTCCTTTTTGGGAACACCACTCTAGCTTCTAGGTGGAGGAGAGTTGGGGGTGGTGAGGCTGGAGACAGGGAGACCGATTGGGAAGCTGCTGCAAGGATCCGTGAGGACAGTGGCGATGGGCGTGGGAGGGGGAGTTTAGCATTTAGTGCTTAGGAGATGAAGCCCTTGCAGCACAGGGAAGAAGCATCATAGGACTCTCATGTGATGGGAGCACTCAGCACACAGCCATCTGCATCATAATCTCTTCTGTTTGCATGGTGCTGGTGCTGTTCAATTTTCAGAGCAATATCACAAATCCTGCCTCATTTTGCTCCTCAAGCAGTGGGAGGCAGGGATGGTAGGGATGAAAATTTTCCTTATAAAAGGAAATTGACGGACAGGAACATTGAGCTCCCACCATATCCTGGGACTCTTATTCTCCAGCACTCCCAGGTAGACAGGAGGACGCAGAGGCACAGAGTTGATGACTTGTCTAAAATCACAGTGAGGAAATGATGAACCCAGTCAGCTTCAGAAGCCTAATTTTTTTTTTCCCTAACCCATG